CCCCCGCCGCCCCGCTCTGTTGGTATCCGTGAGCCCGCGGCGCCCGCTGGCCTTAACCTTCCACCGGGGACACCGCGGGGCTCAAGGCCGCACTCTGCAGGTGCCACCCGAGGTCTGAGCCCCGCCCGAAGACGACAGCTGGGACCAACCCGGCCTTCTGCTGCCGAGAGGCCCTGCCGCTATCCGGGCGCTCTGCCCCTTCCTCAGTCGACGCGGAGCTTGAGGATGCTCAGCCCTCCCCAGCACTCACTGTAGTAAGGCTCTTCGCTCCCGGGTGCAGGGGCAGGGGGGCCGTCCTGCGCCGAGCCGCCGGGGCCCTGCACGGGCGGGCTGGCCGGAGCCGGGGGCCCAGGCTCCCCAGCCAGCTCCCGGCGCACGTTCTCCAGCATGCTCTTGTACGCCTGCCGGGCGGCCATCGTCAGCTCGACCATCCTGTGGAACTGGTCCTGCGGCAGAAGGGAGCGCACGGGTGACACCCGACCCCAGGGGATGCGCCGTCCTGCCTTCCAGCCTGCCGCCCCCAGGCTCAGGGCTGCCTGTGGGGACGCTGCACGCGAGCCCGTGTCTCCCACCCCCGACACCCCCAGCTCACCTGGGCCCCGTCGTAGCTGAAGATGCCCACCACGCTGACGGGAACGGCCTTGTTCAAACTGCGCCCCAGAGCTTTGCGGTTGAGCGCGAACACGAAGGGAATATTCTGCTCACAGGCGTAATCGATGATGGTGTGCAGCGTGTCGTCCAGCCCACCTGGTCAGGGGCAACGGAACGACAGGGAGATGCGTCTCACGCGGCGTGGCGCTGATACTGGCCGCAAAGGGCTTTTTTCTGCACGTGGCGACACCCCTCAGCGGGCCGTGCCTGACGCCACCAGGACAAGGCCACCACCGCCAGCGCATCGCTCTCTCAGCCACGTGGGACAATCAACTCTCCCGAAGAGACACGTCCTCAGCGGAATACAGCACCCCTCTGTCGTTAGCCTAACGGGAAGTGAGGCCTCCGCCTTTCAGAAGAGCCCCCGCCCCGAATCCCAACATGGGGGCGGGGAGGTGGGCACCCACAGCACCAAGCAAACCTCAGGCACCAGCAGCGCGGGCCCGCCCATGCCCGCGTCGGGCCCGCCAAGCCTCAGTGTCACCCGAGCCTCCGACCACAGGGCTGCCCGCCGCGGGCTCCGACACGCTCTCCTCACGCTCCCGTCATGGGCTAGAGGCTCACAGGACTCACCGCAGGGAATCACTTCCTGCGTCTGCCCAGTCTGAGGACGGGACTGGCACCGCAATCCCGGCCAGGGCACAGACGCAGGGCCTGCCCATCTGTGGCGCCACTCCTCCCCCCCAACCCGACCCCGGGCGCCGGCCAGCGGGCTCTCCTAGCCCCGTCCGGGGGGATTAGGGAGACTTCACCACAGTCAGGACTGACTGCATCACTGGCCTTCGGCTGATTCAACCTCCAGCCGCCCGCCTGGAGGCCAAGGGTAGGGGTGGGGTGGGGATGGGACCGAGCTTCCAACCCCCCAGTTACCTGGTTGGCCCCCCTGGCAGCCAGGCCCTGCCTTTGGGCAGGTCCGAAGGTCACCTTCGTTACCGCAACACCTTTACCGCAGTCATCCAGAGTATCAGAAGGTGAGAGCCAGAAACCGAAGACGAAAACCCAACAGGAAGGAGAAATCTCTTTCGGTCATCTGAGTGACCCAACAGGTGTCGCTTATAAATCACAGAACTGCACTTAGTGAATAGTCACCGAACGCTCACTGTGCACTGGGCCACTGGTTAACTGCCTATCGGGCACGAGCTCCTGTGTGCGCACAAGAACCCGGCAAGGGAGGGGCCGCGCCCGCACAGATGGGACCCTGGAGCAGAGAGGTCACCAAGTATCCGATGCCGACAGGGCCCGGCCGCGGGCTCCCTGCCCTCCACCACCCGCCCTGCTGCCAAGCAAGGTGCCAGGTAGGGTCTGTGCGCCGGGAGAGCGGGAGAGGCACGGTGAGAAGGACCAAGGGGGGCTGTGCGTGCAGGTGATGTGCCCGCCACGTGGGGGGCCCAGCAGCCCCGAATCTCTACTACGGGAGAAGTACACGTGTGTGTCTGTGCACATGTCACGCGGAAATCACGAGTCCTCACACAGGCCAGTGGGGCCAGAGAGGACGTGCACGGACAGCCACGGAAGATCACCGCAGGCAGGAACAGGTTTGTCCCAAGTACAGAAGCTGCACAGAGTGGCTTCCAGGCGCTCCAGAAACACAACAGAACATCTACACGGAGGCACCTATGGCCTCGGCCATACTCATCCCAGGCACAACAGACCAATTCTGTGTCAACCTAAAACTTTGAAATACGCTTACTCCTGAGGAATAAAGAATATGAAAAAAATACACAAGTGAGAACCAGCCTTTTGAAAAAGGAAGATGACATGAGGCTACTAGCATCATCGGGTACGAGAGCATACAGGTGGGGATGCGGGGTGCAGAATGGAGGCTCTGGCGGAAGGAGCACTGTGAGGCAGCAGGGAAAGGGCAACTGGGTCGGCCTCTGGAAAGATCCCTCTGAGAAGAAATACAGTCTACCTAAGCAAACAAAAATGAAAACATGGAAGAACCAGAAAAACAATATTAAAAAACCTACTAATAATCTTGGAGTGTTAAGGTGGAGAAATGCCATAAAATCTCAACGCAATAAAATCACAAGAATAAAAAACATCAGTATAGTAACAACACCCAAAGTCTCTGCACAGCCAAAAAACGTTTAAAAAACAAGCAAATGACAAACCAAAATAACAATTACAACTCTTACCCAAAGAGCTTTCTTATTATATAAAAAGCCACATGTCACTATTAAAAAGGTCAAAATCCCAAAAGACAAATGGGCAAAGAACATGAACCAACAGTTCACTGAAACCACCAAGCTCTTCAACAAGAAAGAGGCTGCTCGCCCTCCCCTCCCAAGAAAAATGCAAACAGCCTCCCCGGAGCCGGGGCCGGAGCTGGAGCCGGGCACTGGGCACGAGCCGCGCTGGGTGCACCGCTCGAACAAGCAGCAGGGGCGTAACCCATGGACCCTCAGATGCACCTGCCCTTGCGCTCTCGGTGGGGCCCCACAGAGATGTTCCCACAAGTAGAAAGGAGATGTTCCCACAGCATGCAAGGTGCGTAGACGTCTGGAAAGAGCCAGGACGTCTGTCGGTACCGTCTGAGCAAAGCAAGTGTGCGCACGGTGCTCACAGCCGGGCCCCCAGACTGCTGGTGAGCTCCCCGCGAGGCGCCCACAGCGCCGGGACGCCAGACCTCTCTGGCTACGCGGACTACCAAGGACCCATCAAATGTGGCAATGCTGGCTGCCTCTGGGGGGCTGCAGGCACCTGGGGGGCTTACTCCTTGAAAGGAAACCTAGCACCTGGCTCACCGCACGGCACGGCCCCAGCAACCTGCGTGCAGACGGACTTACGGACGGGGCCCACGACATCTGCCGGAGAAGAAAATGTCTCCCGTGGCCCCGTCACCTGGCACTAATTGTAGGATCATCCAATGTTCTTTCAAGAGAAAAAAGCACATCCGCTGCTCTGGGAACTGGGACGTCACTCTGCAGCCGGTGGCCCCACATCCCTTAGCTCTGCCCACGCCCAACCCAGGTCCACCTGAAGACCGAGGAAGGAGAGGAGGAAGCAAGCTCTGGGGACAGACGCTCAAGGAAGACCTCAGTTCTGGGCCGGCAGGGAAAGCAGGCGGGAGACGGCGGGGGAGGGGCGCGAGATCCTCAGCTAGAACTACAGTTACTCCCAACTTCCCGCCGGAGACTCCCGTGCCCCTTGACGCCTGCCACGTGGTCTCTCTCTGCCTCGTGTCCCCCAGCCCCGGGGCCGACCACAAATGCTTTCCACGCAGCAGCGCCATGGCTGTTGTCCCTTCAAAGGCCTGCTTTCCAGGTGGCCTGTGGCTGACGTCAGGACTTGGGTTTCCGGAGGGCACCCACCATGCTAACTGGTAAGAGGGGCTATGGGGTGGGAAGGAGGAGGCTCATGGTCCCTGCAGACGCCACCCCACATGCACATCCTGTGGGACTCCCCTGGGAGAGACTCTGGGAGACTGGGCCTGACAGTGGCAAGCCTAGACAGTTCTGCTCCACCCAGCACCCAGCCCGCAGGCTCAGTGGGAGCTGAAAGCATCTCCAAGGGCCCACTTCCCAGGACTGACGACAACACACTCAGAACAAGCAAAATGCTCAAGACAAGTGCCACGTACAATTCAAGCTCAGCATTACCAGGCAAAATGCCGCTCCGCACACGGTACTCCACACAGCCCAAGGCCAGGATGCCAAGTTCTACCTTTAAAATACTGCAAGCCATTGGCGAGCTTTTCCAAGAAGAATCGAGTTCCTTCAGCCTCAAATAAAAACACGCACAAGAACGGATGACGACGAACGCAGCTGAACCTGCCGCCAACGCAGATGCCGCTCGAGCCAGGCAACCCCCCCATCAGGAGAAAGGCAGCTCACAGGGGAAGCACGGCGTGGTGCCCACTGCACACACATACTCATTCCCTGGTCTGTTTGTTAAAGACACGAATCACAGGAGAACCCGAGACGAGAGCAGGAAGCTGGGACGCAAACGGACGACTGGGCACGCCGACCTGACAGCAGGGCGAGGGGGGGAGCCCCGAGCCCGCCGTCCACAGCCCAGCGTCCGGGCACGTTCCATGCAGACGGACGTTCAGAGGAGGTGAGGGCAGTTGGCGTGCGCACCTGCGTCACCCAGGCAACGCCGGGCCCTGCGCTTCTAGGGGCGGACGCACCCCTACACCCTCTGCATGAGACTCAGGGTGCCGATCTGGCCCCAGAGCACCAGCGGCGGCAACAAACACGGAGACCTCAGGACAACAAAAACTGCTCCCGGAAATTGGAAATAGTAGCAGAAATGGGAAACTCTGCTGAAGCTGTTAGAGGAAGCTGTTAGGATTCCTTAACAGAAAACAGAACCAAGGAAAGGCTGAGAGGACAGCAGCACAGGGGGGCCCCGCGAGCCACCCGCCCTCCTCCCAGAGCCTCGGGCACAGGGCAGCGCCCAGCCGCCTCCAGAGAGGAGGGAGGACGACGGAGAGCGGGCGCAGAGCTGGGAGGCTGGGCTGCGAGCCCCAGCACAGGCCTTCCCTCAGCACTCGAGCCGGTGTCAGCACAGCCCGCTCCCCAGCAGGAGCCGGGAGGCCGCCCCCAGGGCACAGCCGCAGGGAGGTGCAGAGCGCCCCAAGGGGCCCAGGTGAAGCTGTGGAGCGCCCCAGGCACCAACGGTCTTGGAGGAGGCTCAGGCCACGGGCCAGGAGCTGGAGGGCAGACTCGTGTTGAAGCCCAGAGCTGTGAGGGGACCCACGGGAGGGGCGCGGCCAACACACAGCCGGAGCACAGGGGCCCAAAGTCCCCTTCTGCCCTATTCCAGTGTCAGGGCCTGCCCCGAGCTAGGACCAGGGCGAGCTGGCCGGGCAGTGAGCAGGTCCAGCGGCTGCTCTCAGGCCCCGGGGGCCCCACACAAGCCAGGAAACCTCAAGTCTCCAGCTGCAAAACGCAAACCAGGAAAGCTCAGTGTAGGATCCAGACTCGGCCCTGCAAGGTGACCTGTCCAACGTGGGAGAGAGGCCCGTGCCCGGGGAAGGCCCCCTTCGGCCCCCCGGCAAATGAAGACACAGGACACAGGCTGCTGACTACCCGTCCCTCTGACACACAGCCCATGTCCGTCACCTCACCCAGCCCGCTGCATCCCACGAAACACAGCCAACCTGCCGGGGCCAGTAAAGTGGCCAAGCCCCTGGACAAGCCGGGAGTGCTCACAGACTGAGCAAGTCAATTGGCAATGGAGTGCCGGGCTGCCGGGCTGCCGGTCACAGGATTCCCGCAGCGTGAGCTCTGGAGGCCCCCCGCCTCCTCTCCACCCCACCCTGCCAGAGGCCTGCACTGACTGGCCGGACCGTTAGCCGGCACCCACAGGGGCCTGGCTGCCTCCGAGAGCAGGACACTGGGTGGTCAGGTGAAGCTGCAAACACAGCCCTCAGGTACGAACAAAGAAAACCAAACCCGCCCCAGCAGCCGGGCCGGGGGCCACAGTGCTCGGTACCTTTCGACTGGATCTTCTCACAGTTGGGAGAGATGATGATGCACTTGAGTTTCCTGAGCTTCAGATGCTTGAGGACCTCCCGCAGCCCCAGCACGAGTCGGCGTTTGGTCTTAGCCTTGACTGGATCTTTCTGGTACATGCGGTCTTGGAAGCGCACCAGCTCCTTCAGCAGATCCGTCACACAGGCGTCCACCTCCTTACTCAGCATCTGGCTGCAGTAACTGAGACAAGGTGCCCGCTGGCGGGGGCCCCTCGGGAATCCCTGCGAGGAGCGGCCCGGCCGCAGAGCTGGGGCTCCTGACGGTCAGACTTCACATCCTCCCTGCTCCCGACCACGAGGGACAAAGGCTCTGCGCCCCGCGGCCCCCCGATGGCCCGCCACATGCTCCGTGGCAGCTACTGCCCACAGAGACCCACACGTGGAATGTGCCCTGAAGAGAAGTGGGACGGGAGCAGGCAGAGTCCCCTCAGAAACTACCCAGAAACACCAGACCGTGAAAGGGAGGTGTCACCGCACTGCCCAGCCCCCCAGCGCACACCTCAGCAGCACGTGAGGACAAGGACCTCACAGAAGCAGATAAGGTGGCCCTGACGTGGGTTCTGACGAGGAGGAAAGCCGGGGCCTGGCCTGGCGGCCTGAGCAGGTCGGCGCAGGACAGCCCCACGCTCAACACCAGAGCGAGCACACCCCGCCCCAGGCCCCACGCGGGCACGGCCCTGTGGTCACTCACTCCCGGAATCTCCGGCTGTGGATCTTGGGGCAGCCAGCGCCGTTGGGAACGAGGTGGCAGCCCTCTACCTCCTTCTGGAGCTCCGCTCTCGGCAGCTCTTCTGACCTGCCCTCCAGCATGGGCGCAGAGCACGGCGACGCCTCCGGCCCTCCTGCAACACCCCGGAGAAGCGAGTCAGGGCACAGCCGCCCCCATGCTGGGCACACAGGCTGAGGGCGGAGAAGGCCTGAGCGCACCTCACGGGGCAGCGTCTCTGGAGCGGCCCTCGGCAGGATGACAAAGGTGACAAGTCCTCAAGCCACACACTTACGATCTATGTACTGTTCTCAACACACAGCTCAGTAAAAGGCCTGCTAACACTTTCTCTGACGCCGGGACTCTCACACTGCCGACAAAGCAGCTTCGCAGTGAGTGGCGTTCATTCTCACGGCCACTTCAAGCTCCGAGGACCATCCGATGCCACACACATCACACCTGGGGACCTCGTCCCTCTGTCCCTTAGGCCGCACCCCAAAAGCCACGGGCACCAGGAGCTCTACCGGCCCATGGGGACGCCCTCTTCCCGGCAAGTCGGACTCGGACAGCAGCCGCATTCTGCTTTCAAGGCCAGCAGCGCTGTCCCCCCGTGCCCGCCCCCGCCCCCGCCCCGGCTGCAGGCTTCCCCCCGCTCCCCCGCCGTGCCCGCCCCTGCCCCTGCTGCAGGGCTCCCCTGGGCAGCAAGCAAGCGCGCTCGGCACCTGAGGGGTCGGCCGGCTCGAGGGCCTCGTCACCACCGCTCTCACCATCCGGTACAGCATCACTGGCGAGAGCTGGGCTCACGGCATTTTCTTGGAGACGCTGCTGCTTTCTCTCCTGCCGTTCTTTCAGAATAATCTTTAAAATGAAGTAAGCGATTAAGACACCTAAACAATACCTGTCCTTAAAAATAAGCCCTTCTGCAAAATAAGCCAGCCAACCTCAGCGGGCAGGCATCGTGCCTTCTTGCGCCCTCACAGCAGCGACATGCCCTCCATCCCCCAGGGGCCGGGCCCACGTCCCCCAGGTGTGCGGAGCCGGGCACGCGGGACCCGGGCCAGACAGCAGGGGCTGCGGCAGCCCCAACAGAACCCGTATTCCAGAATCGGAGCACCAGCCAGGCTGCCTAGGGGAGGAGGAGGGCAGCGAGGGTGAACAAGGAGAACACAACGGCCCCCGTTCCTGGTTCTCTGTCTGCATCCCTGCCAAGTATTAAAAGAAAAAGAGCCCGCCTCCAGGAGCGGAGGCGCCCTGCTCTGTACCCTCTGCCATCCCACTCAGGGAGGGGGGTCACTGTCAGAGAGTCGCGCACACATCTCGAGAAAGCACATTCCAGCAGAGCGAACGTTAGAACCGAAAACGCTCAGAGCTCTAAGAGGTAACACAGACAGGAAGTGAGGTTTGCTAGCGCGTGCTTTCACCGCATACCTTCTTCAACGAGGTTGGCTTCTTGGCCTTGGGGACCTCCCTCTGCTTCCCCTTCTTCATCAGTGGGGCGCTGGAGTCCAAGGGGTTGTGCGGGGTCTTCACCTGGCTCAAGTGGTGGCCCTTCTTCCCCGACGCGGTGTCTCTGGAGAGGACCGGCACCGCCCCGACTGCGACACGGAGGGGACAGGGGCATCAGGCGCCCAGCCCAGGACCTCACTCACCCTCGTCAGACTGCCTGTTACACAGTCTTCTCACTGACAACCCCATGAAGTTCAGTATCTTCTGGCAGAGATCCAAAAACACCATCAACTTCTCTGGGGACAACCAGCATCCCATCCCTGTGATAGAACCTCCACGTGGCTCAGCAAAGTGTGCAGTGGGGAGACCCCACCTTCTGAAACTAAGGTATTTCCAGACAGTGTGCACCTACAACAACCCTTTTGAGGGAGTCTCTCCCCACCATTTTTGAAACCGCCTCTGCAGAAGGTGGCTACTGGTTTCCAAACACGCATCTTCTCTCTCAAGATTCTCTTGAGTTTTCCAGACAGAAAGATACTGTCCTAGACGCCCGCCCACGCCACTATCAGGAGATCACAATCACTACTCAGCATTTCCACGGCACGCTCCCATCTTGCTCTATTCCCGCCTTCTTCTTCTTGTTCCAAGGAAACAGCTTATTTGTGCCTACTTCCTTTCCTTACCTTTTAGTTAGAACAATTTCCCAACACACACCCAAGAAAAGGGAACGGTACAACAACAAACCCCACGTACCCACTATCCAACCTCAATACCGATATTTTCCCAGGCTATCTGACCCGCCCTCACTGGGTTTGAAATATGCTGCTGAGTAACAGGTGTTTTCTCAGTTGGGCGTGAGGGTGCCCTGCCTAAGGGCACAACAGGTCTGCACCGTAGCTCTGGGTGCTTCCAGCCACGGCCCCGCACAGCTTCCGGCATCTCTGGACCTGTGCTCCCATGTCAGATGTTCGAAACGTACGCATGATGAGCTCATCTTAGAAAACCACCCCGTGCTGACCCTGTTCCCATCTGTTCACTCTGTTCCTAATGCCACTTCCCAGGGCCAGACCTCAGCTGGGCACCTGACTCCTGCTGCCTGGGCCCCTCCTGTCTGCCCAGTGCCAGGCGACTCTCCACATAGCATTACTGGTGAGCCTGGGAGTCCCTATCACACGCACAGTGAGGTCGACCAACCCCATCCCTAAAACAGCCACCAAGCTGGACAAAACTCTCATCAACAATCACAGCAGCCCTCCCGAAAGTGACCAAAGGCTTACGACAAACTGCAGAGCTTTGCTAGTGCGCTCTATCAAAGTCGGGGCATCCTATCCAGGCTGCTCCCACCCTCTCCCTGCTGACAGCTGGTTGGACCAGGGCGGAGAGGCCATGAAAACCCGCAGCCTCACTGCTTCTGCCAGAAGGGGCTGCTGGATTTACAGCGTGCTCCTTCAGAGAGGTGACCCAGCAATAGGCGGTCCAGCCAGCCTGAGCCATGGCCCTCTGCCGGCAAGCAACAGGGCAAGAGTGCGTCCACCCCACATCCCTGCCCACAACAGAGCCCGTGAGCAAGTGCAGGTGTCCCACGAGTCCCAGGACACAGAGCATGGCCTGCAAGCTGAGCGCACTCCAAGCCCGCACACGCTTGTGAACAGACCGCGGAGGACGTTCAAGCTGGCCGTGTTTAAGCACAACCTCCGACACATCTGTGCTGTGTGGATGCAGGCGTGGCCCCTGGGAAGCCAGAAACAATGAGAACAAGGAGAAAAAACTGAGCTCAGACACCAGCCACCCACAGCATGTGGAAGACAACCTTCAGATTCAGGCCAACGCAGGTACTAAAAAACCCCCGGAAATAAAACCATCACCATCGCTACTCTCAGAGAGGAAAAAAAATTCAGAAATCAGAGCTGCTACAACTTAGTAACTAAAATACTGAGTATTCAACAAAAAATTCAGACTTTCAAAGCAAGGAAGTGTGACCCACAGTCAAGGAAAGGAAGTTAAGGAGAAACCGCCTCAGAGGTGCCAACTGGGGGGCTCGACTGACCAAGACTTCGAGGCAGCTCTGCGAACACATCTGCACCCAGTGTTTCGATAAACAGAAACTGCCAGGAGGCGGTCAGCAGCACATCCAGCATGGCAGAAAATCAATGGAGCTGAAAATAAACACAAACTGTTCAGTTCCAAGAAAACAAAGAGATGCAGGAAAGTGAACTGAGCCTGAGAGACCAGTGGGGCGTCAACGAGCAGACTCATACACGTGTAATGGGGGTGCCCGGAGACGAGAAAACCAAAAGAGTTTCAGAAGAAATGAAGGCCCCTGGGGCACCTGGGTGGCTCAGTCGGTGAAGCATCTGCCTTCGGCTCAGGTCATGATCCTGGGGTCCTGGGATCGAGTCCTGTGTTGGGCTCCCTGCTCCGCAGGAAGCCTCCTCCTCCCTCTCCCTCTGCTTGTGCGCTCTCTGTCTCTCAAATAAATAAAATCTTGGAAGAAAGAAAGGAGAGGAAGAAAAGGAAAGAGAGACAGAAAGAAAAAAGAAAAGAAGAGAGAAAGAAAGGCCCAAACTTCCCAAATCTGATGAAAGCATTAGTCTCCGGAGCCAACGCGCAGCCAACCAAGGTGGGGTACGCACACAGATCCGCAGCAGGCGAGTCCCAGCACGTGCTGAAGGCCAAACGAAGAGACAGCACAGAACGGGCGTAGGACCAGCAGCCCCGCGTGTCACGGGCACCGGTGGAGGCCAGGGCACAGGGGCACCCAAAGCACAGGCAGAGCTCGACTTACCGCACCCCCCAGACATGGGGCATTTCACAAACCAAAGGCGGGCGGCGACCCTGCGTCGGCACGTCCACGGCACCCTCTTCCCACCCGGGGCTGCACTTCATGTCTCTGTCACGATTCTCACCATTTCTTAAACTTCGTCATTCCTATTATTGGTCATGGCGATCTGTGACCAGTGATCCTCGGTTCTACTATTTAACTGCTCTGGGGCACCACAAGCCGGCCGACTTAAGCCCTGTCTCCCCCTCTCCTCGGCCCATTCCCAGAGAGGGGCCCAGTAACAACGCTCCAGCGGCCTTTACGTGTTCACACAAGAGGAAGGCATGCTGAAAGCGGAGGCTGGCCAAAGCTAAGCTGCTTGTGTCCAACAGCCAAGTTCCGAATACCAAGGTGGTTCCTGAAGGAAACTGCACGTGCACCCTGAGCACATGGACAATAAGGAAGCCAAAGAGCTTACTGCTGATACGGAGAAAGTGTCAGTCCTCTGGACAGAAGATCAGACCAGCCCCGACATTCCCTTCAGCCAAAGCCGAACCCAGAGCGAGGCCCTGACCCTCTTCAATTCCGTGAAGGTGGAGAGCGGGGAAGAAGCTGCAGAAGCAAAGTCTAAAGCTAGCAGAGATCGGTTCCTGAGGTTTAAGGAAGGAAGCCATGTCCGGGGCGTAAAAGTGCAAGGCGAAGCTGCGGCAAGTGATCCAGAAGATGGAGCTGAGGTCATTACCGAAGGCGGCTCCACCGACCCACAGATTTTCAGTGTGGATGCAAGAGCCTCCCACAGGAAGAAGATGCCATCTAGGACTTTCCTGGCTAGAGAGGAGAAGTCAGTGCCTGTCTTCCAAGCTTCCAAGGACAGGCTGATCGTCTTGTCAGGGCCAATGCAGTTGGTGACTTTAAGCTGAATGCTTGCGGACCATTCTGAAAATCTTAGGGCCTTTAAGAATTACGCTCTTACTTCCGGGGAAGACAGCAAAGTAGGAGGCTCCTAGGCTCACCTCATCCCACAGTTACACTAAGCTAACACCGACATGAGTGTAAACAACCCAGAAAAGGACCCAAAGACTGGCAGAACAGACTCTCTACAGCTCAATGTAGAGAACGGGCACATCAAAGAGGGACAGGAAGGGTGGACATGGTCTGGAGCCCAAAGGACCCGCAGGGCTGTCCGCAGGAGGGAGAAACGCACCAGGTGCAGAGAGGGGAGAAGAGCAGACCCCACACCAGGCACCCGGGATCTGCACTGGGAAGATGAGTCACCGTAACATCGGGCTTTGAAAACCAGACAGGCCCTACCAATCAGTGGGGCGGAGCCCCTGAAACTTTAAAACCAGCGGCTCAGCTCTGGGGGAGCTGGAGGGTGGCAGGGAATGGAGACCACACAAGAGCCTCACGGAGATACAGCAAAGCAGCAGCAGGTTGAAAGCACCTGGGGTATACGGGAGGGAGGGCTGTTTACTAATCTCAGAGCCCACACTGGAGGAGCAGGGATCCTTGGGAGACTTTTCCGAGAACAAAAGAGCTGGCAGGTACCATTTCCCTCCGCCACCCCCCCAGCCAAGATACACAGAAACCTGCAGGAACCAGCACAGTAATAATGGCCTGGGCCCCGACACCCCACCCCGGCCTCTGCAGGGGTTTTCCGGGGCGGTTACAGCGTCCCTCTGACAGTGGACTGGCCCGCACCCTGCCAGCACCGGGCGCCTCACTCCCGTACTCTTCCTGCGGCCCCGCCCCTGCCTGCCTGCCTGCCGGCCCCGCAGGAGCGCTCCCTGCCCACTGCACATCCCCACTGGCGGCACCTGGAGCCCCGCCCCTGCGTCCTCCTCCAATACGCCCTAGGCCCAAGCTCACCCAAAGGGGTGCCACGAGCCTGGCAGTGTGCAAGCAGCCCCAAGAGGGGCCAGCACCCCTCCACAGTGACTCCTGCCCCCGGGAGAGGGAAGGTAGCCACACACACCAGTCCGAGTGCAGCCCCAGCAGTGGGCTGGGGGCAGACATCTGGTCAGACTGCAGGGCCCGCCCACCCACAGAAGCTTCTCAGGGGACAACCTATGGTTCGGTGACAGTGCCCCTCTGACAACTAGCTGGTCTGACTCATTCAGGCCAAGGCGGCCCCAGACTGGCCACCAGAAACCCACGGACCAAACCCTGCCCTCAAAAGGCAAAGAGAGCCACTGCAGATGAGTGGCCTGAAGGAAAACAGGGCCAGGCCACAGAGCAGCAGGCCACAAGCACCCCACAGAGGAGACATTCGCTGAAGTGCCAGGCCCTGGGGAGCAGGGGACACCACACTGCCCGGCCTGACAGGACCTCTTCTTCATGGGGCCATGACGCTCAAGAGCAGGAGACATGGCTGACTTTCCCAGCACAGAGAAAGAGACACAGAGAGTCTGACAAAATGAGACAGAATAGAGTGTCCCACCTCAAAGAACAGGGCACAGTCACAGCAAGACAAAAACGGTGATAATACACCTGATAGAGAATTTAAAGTCTTGGTCATGAAGATACTCACTGGACTTGAGAAAAGAGCGGAGGACCTCAGTGAGACCACTGACAAAGAGAGAGGAAACATAAAAAAGAACCAATCAGAGATGAAGTACTCAGTAACTGAAATTAAAAATACCCTACATGGAATAAACAGCAAACTAGAGAAAACAGAAGAATGGATCAGCGACCTAGAGAGGACAGAGGAATAGAAAACAAGCTAGCTGAACAGGAAAGAGAAAAAGAGTAAGAAAAAATGAGAATATGTTAAGGGAACTCAGCATCACCATCAAGAGTAGTAGCATTTGCATTATAGAGATCCCCGAAGGAGAAGAGAGAGAAAATGGGGCAGAAAATATATTTGAAGAAATAATAGCTGATAGCTTCCCAAATCTGAGGAAGGAAACAGAAATCTAGATGCAGGAGGCACAGAGAGTCCCCCACAAAATAAACCCAAGGAGGTCCACACCAAAATACTTAGTAATTAACATGGCAAAAAGTACTAATAAAGGGGGAATTTTAAAACCAGTAAGAAAAGGGCACCTGGGTGGCTCAGTTGGTTAAGCATCCAACTCTTGATTTTGGCTCAGGTCATGATCTCGGCTCAGGTCATGATCTCAGGGTCGTGGGACTGATAAGACTCTGTGCTGGGTGTGGAGCCTGCTTAAGATTCTCCCTCACCACAGAAGAGAGAGCCCAGAAATGGACCCTCAACTCTATGGTCAACTAATCTTCGACAAAACAGGAAAGAATGTCCAATGGAAAAAAGACAGTCTCTTCAACAAATGGTGTTGGGAAAATCGGCACATGCAGAAGAACGAAACTGGACCATTTCCTTACACCACACAGAAAAATAGACTCAAAATGGATGAAAGACCTAAATGTGAGACAGGAGTCCATCAAAATCCTAAAGGAGAACACAGGCAGCAACCTCTTCGACCTCAGCCGCTGAGCAACTTCTTCCTAGAAACATCACCAAAGGCAAGGGAAGCAAGGGCAAAAATGAACTATTGGGACTTCGTCAAGATAAAAAGCTTTTGCAAAGCAAAAGAAAGTCAACAAAACCAAAAGACAACCAACAGAATGGGAGAAGATATTTGCAAATGACGTATCAGATAAAGGGCTAGTACCCAAAATCTATAAAGAACTTATCAAACTCAACACCCAAAGAACAAATGATCCAATCAAGAAATGGGCAGAAAACATGAACAAACATTTTTCCAAAGAAGATATCCAAACAGCCAACAGACACATGAAAAAGTGGTCAACATTGCTCGGCATCAGGGAAATCCAAATCAAAACCTCAATGACATACCACCTCACACTAGTCAGAATGGCTAAAATTAACAAGTCAGGAAACGACAGATGTTGGCGGGGATGCGGAGAAAGGGGAAACCTCCTACGCTGTTGGTGGGAATGCAAGCTGGTGCAGCCACTCTGGAAAACAGTATGGAGGTTCCTCAAAAAGTTGAAAATAGAGCTACCGTACAACCCAGCAATTGCACTACTGGGTATTTACCCCAAAGATACAAAGGTAGGGATCCGAAAGGGTACGTGCACCCCAGTATTTATAGCAGCAATGTCCACAATAGCCAAACTATGGAAAGAGCCAATATGTCCATCGACAGATGAATGGATAAAGAAGATGTGGTATGTATGTACAATGGAATATTACGCATTAAAAAAAAAAAACCAAAATCTTGCCATCTGCAATGACGCAGATGGAACTAGAGGATATTATGCTAAGCGAAATAAGTCAATCAGAGGAAGACAAGTATCATATGATCTCACTGATATGAGGAATTTGAGAAACAAGACAGAGGGTCATAGGGGAAGGAAGGGAAAAATGAAACAAGATGAAACCAGAGAGAGAGA